AATGTATGATTAAACTTTTATTTGTACTATGCATGTGGATCAAAAGACAGTGTAATATTTAACTCAAGATTACCCACACAGTTTTACTTCAATCCAAGAAGCATTTGAAATGTGGTTTGATTTGGATTTGGGGCACAGAAGTGTTTTAGACTAATGTCACTTATTTAAAACTCATTACAAATTTTAAAATCAGGACGTTTGGGTAAGTCTTCAAAAACAAATATGCAATACTAAATAAAATTTTCCACTTAAAAATAAAAAAGGAGTTTACTTTTAGAGTGTGCAGGGGAAGCTAGAACCCCCACTGAATAATTTTTATCATGTCTAGATGGATCTGGTGAAAGGAGATAGGGATACGATTCTTATGATTCAACAGTGAGTAACTGTTATCGTGACTAAAATTGTGATGGCCACACTGTAAAGGCAGAAGTTTTGTAACAAAAAGGGGCGAGTAGTTAATCTTACATTCCAGGAACAGAGGACCTTAGGACCATCAAGGGAAAAGAGCGTGAGCAGAATGTGATACACTGTCCAGAGAAGCAACAACACCAGAAATAGAGGCAGAGATGATGACATGGAGAGATAGAGCAGCTGAGGACTCTAGACTCATGGAAAGAGAAAGACTGTGTGCTGGCAGCCAGGAGGTAGGCTTGCAGAATGTGCCCTTTGGTTATTTAAATTATATATTCCTGAGTGTTTTTGTGTACATCAGACAGAGAGAATAGAAGCAAATACTGTTGAATGATGATGCACGGAGGGGATTGTAATCATTGCAATAAAACGAAATACGATAGGATGAGAGTAAAACCGATGTCCTACCATGTAAACTGTCACTCAGTTCACAATAAAAATGTTTAAAAAAATAAGAAAGAAGATGGAAGGAATAGACAATCACTGTATCAAAAGGAATTGGTTGATGTTCAACCATTTTAAGAGGTAGCATTGGTGAAAAATAAGACTCCAGGAATTGACTGAATATAAATTGAAATGTTTCAACAAACTGATGCAGCATTGGATGCTCTCACTCTTCTATTGCAATAAATTTGAAAGACAACTACCTGACCAACAGATGGAGAAAGATCCATATGTATGCACACTCCAAAGTAAGGTGATTCAATGAAATGTGTAAACCTTTTAACAATATTTATATCACCTGCAAGTAAAATTGTGCTGAAGATAATTCAGAAATATTTGCAGCAGTGCGTGATCAGGAGCTGTCAGAAATTGGAGTAGGATTCAGAAGAGACTATTTCATAATGGGTGTCATTGCTGATATCAGGTGGATCTTGATTGAAAGCAAAGAAGACCAGAAAGTTGTTTACATGTGCTTTATTTAATAGGCAAAGGCATCCAGCTGTATGGATCATAACAGCCTGAATAGCATTGCAAAAAAGGGAAATTCCATAATTGTGCTCATAAGGAACCTGTACATAATAGACCAAGAGGCAGTTATTAGAACAGACAAAGGAGATATGGAATGGTTTAAAGTCAGGAAAAGTCTGCACTGGGGTTGTATCTTTTCACGATAGTTACTTATTCTGTATGCTGAAAAATTATCTGAGAAGCTGGACTGTATAAAAAAGATGGCATCAGGATTGAAGGAAGGAAGACTCATTGTTAGGTGTCATCGAGTTAGTTTTAACTCTTAGAGACCCTATGCACAACAGAACAAAAAAATGCCCAGTCGTGCGCCAT